TTCCTGCTGTTCCCATATGTATTTCTGGCCCAGTGCACAGGACTCAGGTGGGTTTTATCTGCCTCAGGAACCATGCAGGTGGGCCCTACCAATGAGAAATGCAAACACCTCTAATTATTTTTTTTTAGGGGGGGCTGCTTACAGAAATCTGGCTGTTTTCTCTTATGCCTTGAGTGCTCAGGGAGACTCTTTGTTGCGTAATTCAAATACAGATTCACTCTTTACCAAACATGGAAAACTTCAGCTCTAGCCCATGTAAATAATGGATGTCACCCACCTCCATGCAGTTCTGCTCGGGTGTGGGATATGGGGCTTTTCCCACTGCTTTTCCCTCCAGCCCTGGACGGTGAAGGCACTTTCCTGCCTGTGCAGGACTGCCCTGGGATGTCACTGGCACACACAAGGTACCATTTGGAGTTGAGGGACGTGGTGGGAGGTGACTCCCCAGAGCACCGGAGCGGGGATGGGGAGGAAGAGCCATCCCATCTGTGGATCCCTGCCCAGGGAGCTGCATCCATCTGCCTGATCCATCCGGACTAACCATGGGACCTGGAGGTCGGACTGACAGGAATCAGGCTGTGGGAGTCCCCAACAATCAAGATCCCACAACAACCAGCCTTGGGCCAGGTGTGTCACCCACAGAGTGGGATGAGGAGCAGACACCAGCAGCCGTGGCAAAGATGGAGAGAGAGAGAGAGAGAAAGGAGGTCACAGAGAGACAGGAAGAGAGATCTTGGGAGGAATCTCTCCGCTCTTGGGAGGACTCGATACTCACAGTCATGGGCTCCTGAGCTGCTCTGGAGGCTGGGGAGGTTTGGTCCCACACGTGTCCTCGCTGGGTGCTTTGTGGCCCAGCCACTGCCCTCCTCCTCCTGCCCCCCGGGCTCATGGGGGGGATTGAACCTGCCAGACACGGTGTGCTAAGGAGCCTGGGACCCACTCGGGAGCTGCAGCCGGTCACTTGATGCTGTAATCCTTCCTCATTACAAAGGAGACTCTGTTGTCTTTTGCCCTGGTCCCTTCTAATCTTCTGAGTAAGCCCTGCGTGTTTATAGAGGCGGCCAGAGGAGGGGGAGGCAGGGCTGGCTGCTCTGCAGCTGCTGCTGCCTCCTGGCACAGCCATGGTGGCTGCCAGAAGAGAGGCATTTTGCCTCTAATTCTTTCCTGTTTGGTCCCTTTCCCCTGTGTCACAATCTTCCAGGAGCCCCAGGGGATTAAGCAGGGCTGGAATTTTCCACAAAGGCTAGGACATCTGGTGCCCTTGGGGGGCTGCACAGCCCTCTCTTCCCTGGGGAAGCTCCCAGCTCCCTAGGTCAGGGGAAGACCCGGCCCGTGCTCTTTCTGGCTCTCAGCAGGTGTTTCTTCCTAACTCTTCACTGTCTGAGCTGTCCCTGGATGACTCTGATCCTCTCTGCCAGCTGTGGTTTGGATGCTGGGGACTTCCACTCTGCCACTGGCTCCCTGAGACTCTTTCCATGTGTTTGCTTTCTTTTCTGCTTTCTTTTCCAGCAGCACCTTGGGGCTCTCCCTGCTCATTCTTGCATCCCACCATGGAAAACACTGGCCCATGACTTTGTCCTCAAGTCTCTCCCAAGCCAGAGAACCCCCAGGGTCCTCAGTCCCTTTTCTGCTCCCAAGCTGTCCCTCACAATTCTGACCATCCTTCTCTTCCACCATCTCCTGTCAGGTCTTTAACACATTCCCCTTCCATAAGTCTCTGAATCAAGATCCTTTCTTACCAAATCAGTCTTCCTGTGCCATGCACCCTTGGCTGTCAGCAGGCTCCTGGGCAGCAACCCTGTGCCCACAGCCACAGGACTTTGGAGAACCCACAGCTCTTCATGAGACCTCCATGTCTTCCCATCCCCTTCCTTCTCACTCCTCTGGGAAGCTGTCTCTGTTTTCCAGGGTACCCCCTAGACACCCACATTTCCTGAGTCAGTTTTTGCACAACTGCTACAACAGTGGCCAGGAGACAAGGAGCTCTGAGCCATAAGCCAAGCCATGGCCTTGTCTCACCACCTGGGCCCAACTTCATAAATGTGCTCTGCTCCTCCTGGCTTCCATCACTTCTCCAGCTGTGGGTCCCTGTGGAGAGGGAGAATAGGTCTGGTCCCTGCAGCTGGAGACCCAGGCTTCTTGGTGAGGCTCTGGGGTTGCCACATGGGTTTTTTTCACTGCTTGTTCCAGCCAGCAGGCAGAAAAGTCTCCAGTAAAATGTAATGAAAATCTTGTTCTTATAATAACCTACCTTCTGCTGTGCTGGTCTGTGTGCTTGTGTTTCTGAGGCTTGTGTAGCATCAGCATCAGGGATTTATTTGTGCCAACTGTAGGTTTCTCCTTTTTGTGTGGCTGAGCCTGGGCAAGGGGAGGTTGTTGTGTCCCTCTCCTCTCAAGCAGGTGCTGCTTGGGTTCTGTCTCACGTGGGGTTGCTGGGGCAGCCCTGGGAATTGCTGTTGACAGTGGGGAGATGATAGTTTAAAACATGAGGCTCAGCTCCAGCATCAAAGGTTTTAATTCTGGTTAGGCTGGGGTAGGTTGGTTTATCTCTAGTCCCAATTCCTTTTTTTTGACAAATCCTTGGTTCTTCTGCCTGGCACCAAAACCATGGAGATCTCCTGACTTCTGCTGGGTAGAAGCTGCTCTGTATTGGACTGTGTGAGGTGCAGAAGGACATGGGCACACATCTGGTGGGAGTAAGTTACAACATCTGGCCACGCAACTGGGAGGCTGCCACACCAAGTGTTAGGAGAATGGATATAACTGCAGAGGGGAGGGATGGGACCTGGAGCACTTGGCCCCACCAGAGTCCTTCCTGCATGAACACCCTGCATCCCAGGGTGTGCTGCAGCTCCCTGGCCCTGGAGCCCCCCAAGCAGGGAGGACTTGCCCTGGGTGGGTGGGAAGGCAACGCAGAAGAGACAATCAGCATGATGCTTCTGCAGTGTGAGATACAGACCTGGCAGGAGAAGCAGCACGTGGAGGGCCCAGGGAGAGCCCCACATTCAAGGTGTGGGGCTAGATAATGCATTTTATCAGGGGCCAGAGGCTGGTGAGTGCAGGGTTGCCTCACTGGCCCAACCACAGCAAACTGAAGGAGCACGTAGCTCTGGGCCTGCTGCCACAGCCCCTGCCAGCTCTGGGGGAGAG